AGTTCACAGTATTGGTGTCCAAAAGCCCCAACACTGCAAACACTGAAAACGACAACACAGCATGCACCAAGTCTCCAAACTTGAGTTTGTAGCTTGACAGGTCAACGGAGTCGGAAGCCGGAGAAGGCCAGAGTCCCTTGGGGCTTACGATGCCATAGTGCCTACGCTTGTCAGTGCCTGTGTAACTGTCTGTGAAGGAAGAAAAGGCACAGCTGAAGCCACAGAGCACAAGGAAAATGGCGCAGAGGGACTTGTTGCCGGCGTTGCATTCACCGCTGTTGGTCAAAACAGGGTTGAGGAATTGGAAGACGAAGACTGTGCCTGTTGGGAGAAGCTTTATGAGGCTGCCAACTGATGAGAGCGTGCTGCTTGTCACACCTCTGCTTTTTGGGGGTCTTGCCGACGGTGATGGAGTGTTCAAAGATGAACTGTCTGCAATCATTTTCTGTTCTTTTTCTCTGCTTCTTGCAGTTCCATCTCATACTTTTTCCCACTCCATGGTTGTGTTCTTTATCTTATAGCACCGGAACTAGCTGGCGGCGGCGGCGGCTTCTACGTAAAATGACTTGGATTCATCTTGAAAGACCATGACCATATACCCATTTGCATTTTTCAATCTCATGCAAATTGAATTATTCGAATCATTTTCAGGAAAAAGTCAGGCAAGAAAACAAAAAAATACTCACGAACATAAAGTCAGACAAAATAAGAGCAATATTATAGTAAGCTACTTACAGGTGGCTGTATTTTCATTTCACAAGTGTTGTTGAATTATAATATAAGATATAAATTTCATTTTACACAAATTGACTTAGGTATAAATTTAATATTGTGTCTAAATTTCGTGTTTGACTAATTACGAATATTTAATATTTAATTTCACGTACAATATTGATTTAAAGATGTATTTTATAAATAAGTTACTTTCTAAAATAGTTATTGAAAAAAATTATAAATTAATCTACACGTAAATTAGCTTTATTATATAAAAGGAGTTTTTTTTCTCTCTCTTAGTACTTATCAAGAAACCAAGAAATAAGTCACCAAGTTATCCTAAGCTGTCAATAATGAGCTCATATATTTTAGTATACCTTGTTAAATTGAAAGACAAGCAAAAATGAATAAAATACTAAGAATAATAATACATCCATTATTCATTAATTTATACACCTCAACGGATGAATAAATTAAATAAATATATGGTAAAAGTTAAATATATAAGTTGATTTTATCTCATTACATAAACACAACTTACTTTTTGAATAAATGTTGGTAGAGATATTAGTCTAAAATGTTATGGATTATTCCACCAAATATTTAATGTATGTGTATATTTAGAATAAACTCAAAATCACTAATTAGAGTACAATAATTTCATATAAATTCACGAATTAAGCAGCTAAAAACTATATAAATAAAAGTAATTTATTGGGTGGTTGTAGATTTTTTAACAACTTAGTGCTAAGAGATCTTACACCTCAATCAACCTGCAGTCAATATTGAAGGAAGATCCAGTCCAGACACAGTAAGCAAGATAAGATTCTCACTAAAATATTGTAGGAGATAAGCCAAGATTAATGATTTATTTCCACTCTTACAACTGAGAGACGTAACATAAATAAATTTAATTTCTTTAAGTAAAATTGTTTTATAAGTCAATTAATAGTCATTAAAAATGTAAATTACGAAAACCAGATGCTCCCCTACTTTGAACGTTATTTTAAATATATATATATATATATATATATATATATATATATATATATAGAGAGAGAGAGAGAGAGAGAGAGAGAGAGAGAGAGAGGTTACGTTAAACGTCGTTATCGCAAACGCTCGTCAACCTTTTTTTGAAAATAAAAAATAAATCTTCCTTTTCTGCTGATTAGGTGCCAAATTAGTTAAATCTGCTACTATTAAAAATGAGTTGTGATATATTTTACATAAATTTCGAATCATAGTTTTTTTAGTATGATGCAGTGAGTTCAATCACCACAAATTATATTAAAATTACAACAAACATTATTTTAACCAGAAACCTCATATGTGAATAATAATATATCTTGAATTAGATATCAAAATTTCAATTTGATCCAACCGTAGACAAAACAAGATACATGATTTTACTAAAATATAGCTTAGTAATAAAATCAAGGTGGTGTTTAATGTTTAAAATGTTGCTCTCAACACCCAAAACTTGGTACTCAGCCCCAAACCTTTAAAATTCATTGCCAAGTGAGCGCCCAACAGTCCTAGAGTACCACCATACGTCTAGACCGCTAGAACCACTAACTTATGAACGTCCACTCCAACGCTCTGGACCTTTAGAGTTCACCAATTTAAGTTCTTCATTTAATGTCTAACGGTTATATGGTACCGTCCAATACTATAATAGATATATAAGATTTTTTTTTATATTTTAAACTAGTTTATTCAATATATTTAAGTTATTTTAAGATTTTCTTATATCATATAGGTTCATTTTCTTTTAAAAATGTTTCAACATACCAATGTACCAATTTAAAAGCACACCAACCATAAATAATATTTTATCTGATCTCATTTGTAATAAAAACCTCTCAATCACGTATGCACATATTCAACATGAGATCAACACACACTAAAATCAATAAGTCATACTCAATGGAATAAACAATGAAGTAAAGTTGAAAAATTAAACATCCACGACATAATTCAAAACCTCATCCAGTTATCACAACATTATCATCAACATCATAAACATGAAAACATACTCCACAACAAAGTTCAAAACCTCATCCAAATATCACAACACAATCATCAACATCATAAACATGAAACAATAGTATTTTTAACGTTTATTAATTTCCCTTATCTTATATGCTTCTTCCTCAAAACTAAGCTCTCACAACTTAAGAACATTACTCATAACTAGAGACCTAGATCAATCTTATTCAAATAAGCCATAATTTCAATATATGGTAAAATAAGTTGAGATTATCATTTCTCTCAATTGTCTCAACTAAGATTTGATTATTAGAATATTACAAAACTAAGAGATTAAAAGTTTTATAGAACAGATGAAAACTTGTACTATTTAAAATCCGTCAATCCAAAAGGTTTCTTAGCTCCTCAATTTTATTTGATGCAATTATATTTTGGGATAGAAGTGGATTGAAAAAACAATTTGAGATGAAAAGAAAGGAGGAAAAATGGCTTTAAAGGAAAATGGGGGAGAACATATAAGTAATCGGTAATTTGTGCTCTTCTCTCTCTTCTTTTTTTCAATTTACTTTTTTCACTTTCTTTTACTTCTTTAAAGTCAAATGTTGTAAAAAAATTAGAGCAACTTGTTTTGGTTTATAAAATTAACCCACAATATTTTGTGGGCCTTTTGAGTTTGTGAAATTTTTGTTGTGGAATCTTTTGATCCTATGCATTTTTTTCGTACTCTGATCCATGTAAATTACACCAAATTGACAATATGAACTGTTATATTTAAAATTATTAATAATAATAGTAACATACGTAGTATAATGCCATATAAAAAAGTCTTGAAAAAAAAAGATTTCAACACCGGAATTTGAAAATAAAAAATCAATATAATATACCAATTTTATAGTCCATAAAATTAAAAAAATTAAACTAAAAAAATTAAACTAAAACAAAAGTTACTTGGATTAGTTTCACAATCGTAAGGGGTTGAGTGCTAAGTTTGTAACTACTTTTTACAAAAAGAAAAAAAAAATCTAATTATATATTCAACTTTACTGTTATGTAACTTCGATAGTTGAATCCAAAGTTTAAGGAGAAAGGGAACGTGCTAACAGACACACCTTGCTATTTGAGTTCATAACAAATCTTCTTTTCACTATAATTTTTCTTTTAATTATTGGCTGCAATTGACAATTTTATTTTTCTCGATAAATTTAAATTATTGAATAAATTTTTCAGATAAATTTTAATATTTTAATTAATAACAAATTTATTTTTATCTGTAAAATTTATCTATAAATCTATTAATAATTCAAATTTCAATTATTGAAAAAAATTCATTAGTAATATAAATTGTAATTACTAACTAAAAAGTTGTCAATAATTAAATGATTTATTGATAAAAAAATTTGCTAATAAAAAAATGCAAATTTTTTCGTTCAAAATATTCATTTATAATTATATAATTTATTAGATTTATCGACAAACAAATTTATCAATAAATATAATTGTAAATATTTTACCCAAATTCCATGTTTGAAGAATAAAAAGAAATTGAAGAAGAAATGTTACAAACACAAAAATTGACAAGGAAAAAAAACATTATAAAGAAGGAGAGGAATCAAATTCGATAATTTCCAACAAATTCAACTAACAAAATTTTTGTCAATAATTACTAAAAAAATTGTAAATAAATTTTTTATTAATAATTATCAACGAAATTATTGTTCGATGATAAAATTTAATAAAATGGATTTTATTAAAGAATTTTTATCTGTTAATAATTTTTTTTATCCACAAATATTAAATATTATCGATAAATTTTAATCATCGAGATTATACAAAACTTCATCTTTTGTAATATAATTTTATGAGATTAAGTTAAATATAATTTTATACTACTGTTTATATGAAAAAAAAACCTAAGTTGTATAATTTTTAAAGATAAAAGATATTATTAATTAAAATAAAAGATATTATTTAGTTTTTTTGTAAAGAATAAAAGGGCGTAAGTAGAAACTACGTACGCAGTGTCTATGAAATGTTCTTAAATCCGAAACAAATATGGTATGAGATAGACAATAGAACGTCACAGTACACCCAAGTCGCTGAAAAGCAATCTGGTCAAATACACAACGCTAACCCAAGTTTCGACCATCAAACACTACTCATCACAGTACAAGTCGCAGAAAAGCAAAAGAAAATTATCGTTAGAGGCAACAGAAAAGCCCAGAACAGTAAAATTTCCTGCCATGCATGCAGAAATGCGCGTAGTCTGCAGCAGCGAGCGCCATATTTTCATGGCAACGAAGTGTTATTAATGCTAAACATTGTCAGTCGGGTTTTTCTGAGGGTCGGTAATAGTATCAGTGGACTTTGGGGTGGTTTCGTTAGAATCAGAAGTTAAAGGGTACCCAATTCCATGGCGAGTATTGGGGAAAATCATGAACACCCAACCAGCTAACACCCCAATAACTGTGGGCAGCACCTGAAGCAGAGTCTTCTGAGTTGACTCAAAACCACCGTAGAAACAGTGCACGGTGTTGGTGTCCAACAGCCCCAACACCGCAAACACTAACAAAGATAAACCAGCATGGACGAAGTCCGAAACCCCGAGTCTGTATCCTGACAAATCAACGGACTCGGAAGCCGGAGAAGGCCAGAGTCCCTTGCGTGTTACGAAGCCATAGTGCCTCTGATTATCACTGCCTGTGTAGCTATCAGTGAAAGAGGAAAAGGCGCAACTGAAGCCACAGAGCAGAAGGAGAATGGCGCTGAGCCACTTGTTGGCGGTGTTGCATTGACCACTGTTGGTGACGACGGGGTTCAAGAACTGGAACACGAACACTGTGCCTGTTGGGAGAAGCTTTACCAAGTTACCGGCTGCTGAGATTGTGGTGTTTGTCGCACGCCTGGTACGGCTGCTGTTCGTTTTTTCCGACGAACTCTCTTCAACCATTTTCAGGTTTTCTTCTTCTCTATCTGATGAGATTGTAGCGTTGATTGAATGTGGAAGCAGAAATATAGGAAGTTCGTTTATGATTGTATTTAGAATGGTTAAGACATTTATGAGCTTTGAAATCTCTTCGTTAGCTTAGCAAAGACCAAGGCTTGCACTACAGTATACTGCATTAATTATTTTCAATGCCATGCGCGTTGAAAGGGTCCCAAAATTTCTACAACGAAAACACAAGGAAAGAACACACCACACAGAATAAGTGCCATACAAAAATCACAAGCACCAACAATACTAGTCTCTTAATTACTTATGATTTTAGTTCTTAAAAATTATTGTTTTTTCCGATTAAAGAACTGAAAACGTATTTATTTGAGATTTTGGGAGCATATAAGATTATTTTTTTATATAACAAATATTCCTTTTTCTTCCAAATTTGTCAATTTCTTTAGTATTTTTATTGACGGGTGTATTAAATCTGACTAATAACTTAGACTAACTCAACGAACTATTTAATGACTTTCAAATAACCTAAACCTTAGACGACGAATAACAATTAAGAAAGTGGTGAATGAGAAATCCAAGAAAACGGGGAAAAAGGATGGTTAAGGTTTGAAAGTGAAGAGACAAAATTGAAACGGAAGTTGTTTTAGGGATTTAATTGTCATATACATTACCTTGTTAAATTGAAAGACGGAGGTAACTAAATATAACACTATATATAGCCAAGAAAAAGTTATTGAGTATATAAATATAACTATTTGAATAAAAAAATTAACGAAAATATGTTTTCACAGCAAATTAAACTTTAAAAAATATCCTAATTAAATAAGGAGTTGTAAAGTTAGCTTAATATTAAAGTTAAATGAAAGTGATAGAAATTATGCATTATTAACTCTTCCACTGACAAAATATTAATCACTAATATTTGTCTTATTAAAAAAAATAATTAAATCTTCTCTTGTGATTGAGATCAAAATATTTTTAAATTAATTAAAATATATATTTTAAATACTTTAATTAAAATAATTTATTAGGAACTCAATGAAAAATACCTAATATTGAAGTGATTTCAATTTAACTTTAATTATTCCTATTAAGGAAATGGTGTCCAAAAATTAACATTTTTTTTCATTATTTTACGACTTTTTTCTCATGCTTGTTAAATATGTTGTGAATTTTCCATTTATGACTGTTTATATATAATGAAAATTATTAAGAGAGACAAATAATATTTTAAGTATACAAAGAACAACCAAAACATTCATACAATTAGTTCCATGATGTTACAAGTTTCACAGTAAATAAAAAAAAAATTCACTTAAGTCAAGTAAAATATATATATATCTTAATCTTTCTTCCAGAATTGGTTGGTAATAACAGGTTTTCCACTCTTTTTTTTTATTATTATTTCTTCTGTTTCTTCAAATTTTCACTCTTAGACTCTCTCGGTGGTTAGTTAGAGTTTGAAATAGACCCAACACCTTATGCTGACCATCCTAACACCACCAAGTTTGCAACGAACTTTATTACACATTTAATAAATCAATTAAAAGAGCAACAAAAAAGAAAAAAACCTTAGATGTAGAGTACGGAATTATGTAATCAAGATTTTGTTTTTCTTATGAATGTAAATCATGTAATATATATTTGTTTTTTTCGTTTCTGATTGTGACATAATATATTGAACATTTTCAGACGAGACAGTAGTGGACATGTCAAGTCCTTCCGAGTTGAACAAGTATTTTTAGACAAACTAATTTCCACATCCGTGCAATTTGATAAAAATATATTTTTATCAAACAAATTGAAATTATATAATTATTTTAATTAATAAGATGAAATTTATTAAAATATTGTATTTCATATGTGAAGTACATTTTAGTTATTCTATATCAAAAGTAATTAAATAATATTAAAATATGAAACTATATGAAATATGTCAACTTCTAATTTTGTCAGGATAAAAGGAATCTGTTTTTAAAAATAAAAAATAAAGTTTTAATCAATGGTAGGTGAAAAAAAGTTAAATAAGTTTTTTTTTTTACTTTCAAACTTTAATATTAGTATAAAAAAAATGGAAGAGTCCAATTTATCTTTACTTCCACTTTTTACTATTTATATCCTTAAAAATCTCTATGATACGAAGCTATCAGAAAATATTTTAAAAATATTTCCCAAGTAGAGAAAAATACTATTCTAATAAATTAAAATAATTATATGAAATACATATAAATTATGTTATACTAAAAATAATTAAATCATATTAAGTTATATGAAACATGTCAACTTTCAATTTTGTCAGGATATAGATATAGATATAGATTTTATTTTTAGATATGGTTTTAATTAATGGCAGGTGAGAAAAAAAAGGTAAAATAAGTTCCTTTTAGACTTTCAAACTCTAATTTTAGCATAAAAAAAAAAGAAGAATTTAATTTGCTTTTAATTATCACGTCTCTTTTCATGAATTATGGGTTTTATATATATCTTCATCTCTGGTTTGTGGTATTTATATCTCTCACCATACGATAAAGATACTATTCTAATAAATTAAAATAATTATATGAAATACATATAAATTATGTTATACTAAAAATAATTAAATCATATTAAGTTATATGAAACATGTCAACTTTCAATTTTGTCAGGATATAGATATAGATATAGATTTTATTTTTAGATATGGTTTTAATTAATGGCAGGTGAGAAAAAAAAGGTAAAATAAGTTCCTTTTAGACTTTCAAACTCTAATTTTAGCATAAAAAAAAAAGAAGAATTTAATTTGCTTTTAATTATCACGTCTCTTTTCATGAATTATGGGTTTTATATATATCTTCATCTCTGGTTTGTGGTATTTATATCTCTCACCATACGATAAAGATACTATTCTAATAAATTAAAATAATTATATGAAATACATATAAATTATGTTATACTAAAAATAATTAAATCATATTAAGTTATATGAAACATGTCAACTTTCAATTTTGTCAGGATATAGATATAGATATAGATTTTATTTTTAGATATGGTTTTAATTAATGGCAGGTGAGAAAAAAAAGGTAAAATAAGTTCCTTTTAGACTTTCAAACTCTAATTTTAGCATAAAAAAAAAAGAAGAATTTAATTTGCTTTTAATTATCACGTCTCTTTTCATGAATTATGGGTTTTATATATATCTTCATCTCTGGTTTGTGGTATTTATATCTCTCACCATACGATAAAGATACTATTCTAATAAATTAAAATAATTATATGAAATACATATAAATTATGTTATACTAAAAATAATTAAATCATATTAAGTTATATGAAACATGTCAACTTTCAATTTTGTCAGGATATAGATATAGATATAGATTTTATTTTTAGATATGGTTTTAATTAATGGCAGGTGAGAAAAAAAAGGTAAAATAAGTTCCTTTTAGACTTTCAAACTCTAATTTTAGCATAAAAAAAAAAGAAGAATTTAATTTGCTTTTAATTATCACGTCTCTTTTCATGAATTATGGGTTTTATATATATCTTCATCTCTGGTTTGTGGTATTTATATCTCTCACCATACGATAAAGATACTATTCTAATAAATTAAAATAATTATATGAAATACATATAAATTATGTTATACTAAAAATAATTAAATCATATTAAGTTATATGAAACATGTCAACTTTCAATTTTGTCAGGATATAGATATAGATATAGATTTTATTTTTAGATATGGTTTTAATTAATGGCAGGTGAGAAAAAAAAGGTAAAATAAGTTCCTTTTAGACTTTCAAACTCTAATTTTAGCATAAAAAAAAAAGAAGAATTTAATTTGCTTTTAATTATCACGTCTCTTTTCATGAATTATGGGTTTTATATATATCTTCATCTCTGGTTTGTGGTATTTATATCTCTCACCATACGATAAAGATACTATTCTAATAAATTAAAATAATTATATGAAATACATATAAATTATGTTATACTAAAAATAATTAAATCATATTAAGTTATATGAAACATGTCAACTTTCAATTTTGTCAGGATATAGATATAGATATAGATTTTATTTTTAGATATGGTTTTAATTAATGGCAGGTGAGAAAAAAAAGGTAAAATAAGTTCCTTTTAGACTTTCAAACTCTAATTTTAGCATAAAAAAAAAAGAAGAATTTAATTTGCTTTTAATTATCACGTCTCTTTTCATGAATTATGGGTTTTATATATATCTTCATCTCTGGTTTGTGGTATTTATATCTCTCACCATACGATAAAGATACTATTCTAATAAATTAAAATAATTATATGAAATACATATAAATTATGTTATACTAAAAATAATTAAATCATATTAAGTTATATGAAACATGTCAACTTTCAATTTTGTCAGGATATAGATATAGATATAGATTTTATTTTTAGATATGGTTTTAATTAATGGCAGGTGAGAAAAAAAAGGTAAAATAAGTTCCTTTTAGACTTTCAAACTCTAATTTTAGCATAAAAAAAAAAGAAGAATTTAATTTGCTTTTAATTATCACGTCTCTTTTCATGAATTATGGGTTTTATATATATCTTCATCTCTGGTTTGTGGTATTTATATCTCTCACCATACGATAAAGATACTATTCTAATAAATTAAAATAATTATATGAAATACATATAAATTATGTTATACTAAAAATAATTAAATCATATTAAGTTATATGAAACATGTCAACTTTCAATTTTGTCAGGATATAGATATAGATATAGATTTTATTTTTAGATATGGTTTTAATTAATGGCAGGTGAGAAAAAAAAGGTAAAATAAGTTCCTTTTAGACTTTCAAACTCTAATTTTAGCATAAAAAAAAAAGAAGAATTTAATTTGCTTTTAATTATCACGTCTCTTTTCATGAATTATGGGTTTTATATATATCTTCATCTCTGGTTTGTGGTATTTATATCTCTCACCATACGATAAAGATACTATTCTAATAAATTAAAATAATTATATGAAATACATATAAATTATGTTATACTAAA